TTTCCACTTCTGTCGTCGCTCTTTGTCTTCCTTTTTTCCCTCGTCTTTTCCTTCTTCTCCTTTCTTGCGCGACTGAAGGGGGGTTGCGACGGAGTCCGTCGAGAAATTAGCGACGTTTAAAAGGGTGGAGCCGACTCGTCCGCTCTCTGTCTCTCGCCCTTCTCGGTCCCTTGTCGATTTTCTGCGCGACCCTACGCTGCGCCGCGTTCCTACGCGGTCCCGACGCGAGATGCGGCGTCTCGAGTTTAAACTATACTACTAACTAATTGCATACCCCGGCGAGTGTGTTTCGACAATGTGGGCACACACCGCGCGCCGTGGGCAGACAGTTTACCTAATCGTCGGGGTCCGAAAAAAGAGTGGCCCGCTGCACCGCCCTAACCACAGGCCCGGGGCCCGCGGCGACCCGCTCTCACTCCCCCAGCGCCTTTCCGAACCGGCGCTCCGCGCCAGTTTCAACCCCGACCCCGGCAGCGGAGTTCTTAATTTTCCGAAAATTTATCGCCTCGGCTCTCTTTTAATCGCGCTGCGCTCGCTCGACGGCTGCGAGACGTATACGGGCGGGGATCTTTACGCGCCGGAATTTCGCGGAAAGCTCGAGGACGATTGGTGCTCTTCTTCCTTCAGTCACTCCTCGATCGATCTATTTTGTAGTCGCAAATAGGTGGATTTCTGAGTCGAAATTTTGACCCTACTTTCAGCCTTATTCCATTCAACACCTATTTCGATTACTCTGAAACCTACATCAGTCTCTTTTAATTCTACCTAATCTACCCGAGTCGAAAGTTTGATTCTACTTGCAGCCTCACTATTCCACCCATTTTGACGCTAAAGAAAGTGAAAAGGGAAATTTCGGACATCATCAGAGTTAAAGAGTGAATTGTATTATTAGAATTAAACCTACTTTACTTCTACTGCGTTGTAGAATTCAAGGTTTAACATAGGGCCAAACTTTCGACTCGGCAATTGGCAATAGAAATATTGTATGCCTGATCACAATCTGACGTACTCGTTGACCATGCGCAAGATGCGATTTTTTAAAAGGCTTCTCTAAAAAGTAAATCAGTCATTCTGGGCATATTGCACTCGACCGCTGCGATAATTAAGTTCGCGACCCACCTCGCGATTCGACCGTTTCGGCTTCCCACAATGCGCTCGCGGTACTGAGAGAGCCTGAGCTGACCGAGTACCCTCGCCCTTTGCCGCCGGTAATTACTTCACGGTTCATCCTCATCATCATTATCCAAAGGTGACCGAAATTAGTGTTCAGAAGCCTGAAGGAAGAAGAACGCTCGGGCCGTCTGCGGCGCGTAGCGCGAGCGCGCGGAGATCTCCGCGCGGCAACTCCTGGAATTCTGGACCGATCCTCGTGGTCCCTGTGAGACCCACGAGGTCGCCGGGGCCCTGTGACCCTTAGATAAGGCTCACGCCCTAATAAGAGGGTACACGGTGGAGCACCGTGAGGGGACCGTGGCAGCTTCTCTTCCTCTTTCCTCCGCGTCTCGTACCTTCTTTTTTCTTTCCTTTTTTTGCCTCGCAATCGTAGCTCGGGGCCTCGCCCGACTGAGCGATCTAATCCGCCGGGTAATCTGTGGTTAACGTTTTAGGGTAGGCCCGCGGGGTCTCATGACATTCCACAGTCACTGACTCCCACAATTGTCGAGGTTCAAGACGCGACCACTCGAGTGCCACCGCGAACTCGGATCTTTACCCCTTCCGCGTTCAGCTCCTCACGTTTTTGGCGATGTCGGTTTCAGTATCGGAAAGACACGAATCCTTCTTGCCGAAAGGACTGTCGCGGAATACGTGCTGAGTTGGTTTCTCAATATTGTGTTTGTATTCAAGACTATGCTGATATCATATAAATATACTATGCTTAGTAAAAAATGTATATTCGCTTGCTAAACGGAGGGAAAATTTTAATTTTATTTTCGATCCCAATATTCTATTTAACGTCTACTTCCTGATATTCTGAAGCACGTATTGCCTTCTTTTGACTCTATTTAACCTACAGCTTTGTCTAGTGGTCCTCTTTAGAATCTGAAAATGGCATTTTGTACATTTTCTGTCATTTAGAAACTCTAAGGACTTCAGTTTACATATATGTTAAGCATACACTGATCTTTCAAAATATATAGATATTAAAAGATTTAAATTACTTTTTACAACGATTCAAATAATTGAAAACCACTGCTGACATGTATATGCACAGTAATCAATTATAAATATATAAAAATTATTTCTTGAAATAATGTGTTCTCTTAATTTAAGATAAATATTTTCTTCCAAATGTCACATTCTGCATTAGGTATTATCACTTCGATTCCCGCCGATTACTGCGCATACAACAGTGGCTTTCGACAGCTTGAAGCAGTTACAACTTCACTCGATAAAAAGTGTAAAAACCGTTTAGTTATCGAGTGTGCACGTCTGTTGTCGAATTGCTGCGATATGTCACGGACAAGTAACTTCCAAGTAAAGAAAGGAGCAAAAAGGGAAGGTTTACAGAGCGCTGACCGAACTCGGAATGTATTCCCGTGAGTGACGTTTTATTATTATTAGAATAAATGAAGGAAGGATCACCCACGATTACCGGCGTGAAATAGCATCGGGTCGCTGTGCGAAACGTTGTCCTCGATTTAGGAAAACGACTAGCCTCTTCCGTGGGACAAGTCGCTGCGCTCTATGAGGCAGAATACCAGGAACTGTAACATTGTGATTATTGTAATTAAATCGTTCCCCCGGGCCGCGGTAAAGGATACGCGCAGCCGGACGGTCCTTCTTCCTCCTCTTCCATTCGTCTTCCTTCCTCGAAATTCATTTTCACTCGTCGCTCTGCTGCTGCTCGCGGTATTCTTTCTCTCACTCTTTTACGCATCTAACTTCCCACACTCCTCCTCCTCTTTGGCACTCTCAGCTACCTGCAATCGTAAAATACATCGTCTCTTTGTATCCTCCGGGCCGCAACAATCTTATCGGCGATTTCGGCGCTGGGCGATTATTTTTTCGCACTTTGCGCTAGGACCAATTAATCATTGCCATTCTGAAATCACACAGAAACGAACAATTAGCATAGCTAAGTTCAGGTAGGATTGACAAATTAGTTGCAAAACTGGCGCAAAGACGCACGCACGACGTTGAAACTGAAGATATCGAGCCGCAATAAATTCGTTTCGCTTGATATCAAATAAATAATGCACTCACTCAATGTGCCATTTCTTTATTTATATATTATACTTCGAAGAAATATATATATAAATAAATGTTATTACTTTACGGAGACACAGAGTGAAATAGGTGGACGTGTTCGTCACGAAACTCACGAACACTCGAGATAAGAGTTTCTGGAAGCGTCCAGATAAGAAAGTTGCAGCAGCCACTTCGCATAATTGATACAGATGGTATCTCTTCGTCAAGCAAACAACGATCGATATCGCATTATATCCATTACTGGCTTCATTGGATTCACACGTATATATGTATATATCTGTTAAATTAGCGAAGATACATCATGTTCCCGCTGGTTTGATTTAGAATAACGTAGAACACAGGCGGGACTGACTTCGCTTTCGCCGACCGGCCAGGAAACGAATAAGCAACGTGACGACAGGCTTCGGAATTAGCTCGATGATGAAGGAGCGAAGGGTGAGCGCCGAGCGCCGCTCTTGTTTGCTCAGCGTTTCATCACGCTTTATTGTCCGTGGAGAAGGCGCGGAAATTAATTAAAGTTAAACAGCACTAACTGATCGGCAAGCGCGTTAACTGCCGTCCATTGTCGGGAAAGCGGGAACGATGGTCAGCCTTATTCTACGTGGATACGCGTGATGACTTACGCCGGAGAAGGGATCGACCGGCGGCGCGGTAACTGCTGCCTGTTTACCTTCCGCGGGAGATTGAACCTGGGGGAGATTATCGTGCTCTTCCCTTCCTTACGCGAATCATGTTTTAATCACAAAATCCCATTTTCGTTGCTCATTCTCAAGCCGTTCGCGCGAAAGAGAGAGAAAGGGTGTCCTGCGTCGTGTAAATATTCTCAATCGTTAGTTCGAGGGCAAATGATCGCATAAATCTAGAATCATAATGATCTTTATGATTCTGTACGCTGAATTTGATACATACTTCTATTTCCAGAAGAGTCCCTTCTTCTCTTATCTTTTCAAATAGCTCCTTATAGTTCGATACTTGGGTTATATCACATAGATTTTGATCTGACTTACGATATCTTGGAAAGAATAAATATTTGAAGGATAAATAATCGATTACACGTAGTATATTTGTATTAGAGAAAAGAAGATTGTCATATTGTTTCGTACGGCCGATTAAACTATTTCTTCTTCTTCTCTTCTTCTCCTATAAAACTTTGATTTCAATATATATTGTTTGTGTATACCTCCGAAACAAAAATAAATATTATTTATATACACGAAGAATATATATAAAAATTTCTTCGCTTATTCTCACTCTTTATCTCTTTATTTTTTTAACGGAAAATAAAATACGCGTACGTTGAGAACGCGTAATTTAATTTAATACAAAAATTACACCATACATGTGACAATTTCAAGGAATATCACATCAGTATTATATCAAGATAACTTTTTCTCTCTTTTCTATATAGAAAATCTTTATAATATATTAATTATTTCTTTCTCATATATATATATATATATATATATATATATATATATATATATGTGTTTCTTCGTAATATATTCGTATTTATAGAATTAGTTGCTTAAATACTATAGCAGTGCTGGCATGTCTCATGATCAAATCATAAACTAGTATTAATAGTCGTTACTTGAAATTTGCCTCATGTGAAATACTCAGTTTTCAATTTAAAGTTAAATGTGAACTTTTTGACTGAATCACGATTACAAATATAATGTTAAGTACATCATATGATTCAACTGAAAAATGCAGATCCAGCTCTAAATTCTAACCTGAATATCTCACGTGAGACAAGTTTCAAGTAACGACTGTTGATACAGAGAGTGAAAGTGAGAAGACGGGGGGTGAATCTCTGAAAAACACGAGATCGTCATTGCGCCAGCAAGACATTTTTTTGTGTGCATGAGTTTTTATTTTTTAATTCATAACAACAACATTCAATTAAGTATGTTCTACGTTCGACTAGGGTGAGGTATTCTCTCGTTCCTTTCTTTCTATTTGGTAAGACCGTATATTAACAGATAACCGGGCACATCCCCAAGTCCGATAATATTTCGAAGCGATTTATCTTAAACATATTCTTGCGTGATCGGCATGTCGACAATTTGGTCGAGCTGAGAACGGCTGGAGAACGAAAGCATACGACAGTGTAGAATCAGTTTACACTCACGAGTACATTATATCTACACGCGCGTTATGTATACGTATATTTACAATGATCTTATAAATTAGTGGTAACTAATAGGAGGGAAAGGAACTGGGAAATGCGCGCGTGTCACATGGAAATTAATTAGGGAACGCCAGAGTACCTGTACGCGACATATCGGGGATCGAACAAATCGTCTTCTCATAGTTGGCTAGGTGTCTCGGTAAATTTGTCAACTCTTTAATTTTAATGACGTTTTGAACGAAATGAAAATCTGCCTCGTCGCTTCATTACACATCGCGTTGTCCTCGTTATCGAAGGTGTTTTCACGCGTCCGTTATGTGAATAAATAAGTGATAAATGCGTAAGGACGAAAACTCACTCGATCCGAGCGACTAACGGCGAATGTCATTCCCTAATGGAGAATCGACACCGAATTCACCGAGCACAATCTGTTTCACGCGAAAGGGACTGCGGCTATTCCGATACTGGCTTAATGCGAGGCGTGGGTGGTCTACACGGGTAAGCGGTATCTCACTCCTAGATTAAACGAGGAAGATCTTTGGAACCCCACTCGTGCACCGCCGGTGGCACCGGGATGGGCGAAGGTGCCGCGGCTAACTGCCAACGAGACTGTCCTTCTGCTCTTCCTCCCGCGTCCTTATCTGATCGAAATTTCGAATTTTACGGGAAAAAACACGCGGGGGATGACCGACGACCCGGGGAGCGGGGAAGGCGATCAACACCGTCGATATACGCGCGACATCGACACGGTAACGTCGCACCTCTCATGGCGTAGATCGTTATCTCGAACAATCAATTATCCCGACGCCTGGCGACCGAATCGTAACTGTGAACGCACTTTTAGGAACTGGATACCGTATACCTTTCGAGACCCGTAAGAAAAATGCCTCTCGTAACACGAGCGATATCTTCCTTTTCCTGCCGTTGCCGCGCGTCATTCCCGAGCGCAATTAAAACCGTATCGCGACCCTTCCGGGATTTATTGCACCGCCCAGTTAACAATTGCACCGTCCAAACAATAATGCTAATTCCTAATGTCGTCTCGGAAGAACGAGTTTGTATAATTTACGAACGTTTCAAGTTACCTGGTGCAAATCAATCGGTTCTCATCCGCTAGTTAATTCCCCGATATGCCAATGTGTGTGTATTACGTGTGCAAATACTCCTCGGAATTCTGCGGTTACACAGATAAAAGAAATTACATTGAAAAATGCACGATGAGAAGTCTCCTCAGCTGACAACGATCGCGATGTCACATGCCAAATCTGTACAGTATTGACGTCGTGTCTCATTGCAGAAGCGAAATAATGCGCCGTCGTGACGTCGCACAATACAGAGAAGAAACTAGTCGCAAACGCGCGCAATAAGTTTTCGATTCGTACGTGCGAGGAATACTGTTTTCACGCGAGTTACAGTGTCGCGAGTTACAGTATCTATATAACTATATGTTCACATTTTATCTAAGAATATATTACAGCATCTAAATATACATATATATGCATACGCACACGCATACACACACATTTACACATTTAAGAGCGTATGTACAAACGCGCGCGCGCACTTTATGCAAAAGCCAAATAATATCCTGAAAAGATCGATTAAATATATTCACAAGACTTATTCGCTAGAGCAATAAATATTCGCGGGCATATTTACAAGGTATATGTTACACGTAGAAGAAATTGCGTGTCTTTTGTCCTGCACAACAGCAAAATCGGCCACAGTTATGCAAGACTGATCCAACCCACCAAATTTTTTAGTTTTTATTTTTTTTTTTGCCAATGAATAGCCCAGAAAAATACTTCTTTCTCTTTTCCTCAAAGTACTCTTAAAGAGAAGAACATTGACTCTGCTTGACTTCTTGAACGAATTGAGCGAAGAACCACTGTGATATCTACACTTTTTAAACCGTGTATTAAATTTTCCTTCTCATTTCTCCAGAAACATATTTCATGAGAGTTGGACAATTCTTGCATAATTACAGCCAATTAATATCGACATGCGATAAGAGTTCTCTTTACGAAATATCGTTCGCGTGATTTATCTGCGCAAAACAAGGTGGTACATATGTTAAAAGTGAACTCTTTGAAAGGAATTTGAAAGATTGCTGAAAATCTCAAGGCTTTTCAAATCAGAGTAGAATAAACGGAACGCGCACTTGAAATAAATTCGATAATTCATATGCTTTGCGTAATTGCATATTTTAATATTTCGTCAAATCACGTGACAAAAAACTACGAATGATAATCGTCTGTCGATACAAACGGCAACATTCAATTCGTACTTGTCCGCTGTTGTTTGTTCAATTAAAAATAAAATTATCCTAGGTATATTAAACATCGGGAAACATTAAATATGTGCGCCGACATGAACAAATCGTACTCCGAGGCCGACATCAGAAAATTCATCATTCATTACCTCGCTCGATCGGGTAATATCGAACGGAACGTCATGCAGCGGAAACATGAAACAACAAACCAATCACTCTCAGTTAATATCTTTCAATTGCACTTGATAATAGCCCACTGGGTCGCCATTCGCGAGATAAATACTTGAGCGCGCAGTATCGCGAGGTAACTCAAATTAGAGTCACTGTTAGTCTCGCGTTGTTACATCGTTCACAACGTTAGTTATTTCGTTGTAATTTACATTTTGTTTAAAGCGCGCGAAGGGCAATTTTGCGCACGCGCTGCCGCAGTACACCGCGCCGCAGTCATGTCGCAGATGTCTAATCGATTCTGAAATAAAATCCCGGGAAATCAAAGTTAAATATTCTCTCTCCGTGTTTCGTTTAAACGAACAACGCTACTCGTTCAGGAAAGAACGACAATCGTGTCGTGAAACTGTTCCGTGAGAGATTTTCGACTGGAATTACGCCTTTCTTCTCAATCTCGTCCTACTATGGACATCCGAAACGAAAAGCGGAAAGTTTCCGATACCTTGCGAATAGAATAGCGCTCATGACTAGAACAAAGCTACGAAAGTTTCGCATCGCGAAATCGGAGAAAACGGCTGACCTTTGTACTGCCTGCACCGTTTGCAGCGACGGTAAGCCGATTTCAAGAGAAGGAGAAAAGAGAAAAAAAGAGAGAGAGAGACAAAGAGCCGTAATAATCGAACGTCGCGTTTAGAGCTTATAGCTAGAAACTCGCATTTCCAATGGAAATCGTCGAAACAGTTTGGTGATTATTTTCTGGAATTCGAAATGATTCGAAATCCTCCGAATCGAAATTTTAGCCCTACTTTGGATCTGAACTTTATAACATCTGTATGTTATGAAAAATCAGTATATGTGTGAACACGTGAAAACTGAAAGCCTACTTGGCGCTTCTAAACGACAAATAAAATACGATTTTCAGGTTCCTAAAGAGGCAAAGATAATAGATTAAATAGAATCAGAAGAGATCGACTTCAGAATATCAAAATAGACGTTAAGTGGAATATTGAGCTCGAAAGTGGGCTCAAAATTTCAATTCGCGTCGTGCGATGTCGATCTCGAGTCACGATTTGATCACGAAGAATATACATATGATATATACGTGTATAAATTAGCCTCGATGCGGCGAAATTCAGACCTAATCAGGATCGCAGCAGTCTCGACGAGCCTTAACACCATAATGAGTTACGATGCGTATACGTACGGGAGGTTGAGGAACAAACTTATCGTAATGTTCATCAAGTTAACGTTTCATAATGTCCTCTATGGTGAAACCGAGCTTGATAGGCGCGATCGTGCTGGTTCTCTCAATCGGCAGGAGGTTGCTCATGCGTTCCGTTAATTGTCTGACCTCGGTAGAGGGAGAGGTGATCCTCGAGTTCGAGGACACTGGGCTCGTGTCGACTCGAAGGTCCTGTGGGACGTCGGGTGGCGTGTGCGTGAGAAGATGTGTCTTCAAGTTGCTCCTTTGATTGAAACTTCGTCCACAAACCGGACATTTGTGCGGCGACTCCTCCATGTGCAGAATCCTGTGGACTGCCAGGGTTCTGCTCTGGCAGAATCCCTTGCCGCAGTCGTTGCATTTGAACGGCTTCTCCTTGCTGTGTATGTACCTAAATGTTTATGTTTCCGTCAACATCCCGCCGTGAATTTGAGAGTTTACGGTCAATCTGGGCTCATAATCCTCTACGCGCATGTTCGTTTTCCCGATTAAGCTTCGAAATTTAGGAACTTAACATCCTTTGTGTGTCTCTCGCGGCTCTTCGCAATTTATAGCGTTTGTTTTTTTACAACCAGTCGAGGAAAGGTCGCCTTTCACCTCGATGAACTTCAAGACACATACGGGGGATTTCCAATAGGAAAATTTATCTTTGTTAATAGAAGAATTAATCTTTCTTTAAATCTCCTATTAACAAATTCTTCTATTGGATACGGACGTGTTGCAAGATTCATTGAAAAGAAAGAAACTTGTTGCAACTCTTTCCCCCATCGACATGCACTGAGAAAATTATTTTTGCATTGAAACTAAAATATTTGGTACATAGAGAGGAAAATGATTAAAAATTTATTTGGGTAAAATGAAAGTTTATTTCACAGAAATAAACTTTATATCTCGCGCAAGTAAATTTCCAAGTATTTTCTTTCAGTGTACGTACGATTTGGTTCGCATTATATATTTTTCACTTGTACCAAGTACATGTATTATTAAGGAAGCAAAACACGTAACGGCTATTAAATGTTTTGGTTGCAATTATCAAATATTTAGTTCATCCCATTTCAAATTTTAGCTCGGTGTATTTTCGTTTCGACAACAAAATTCTTTTTTCAGTGTAACATGTCACGTCAACATTAGCATGTGAAGTAAAACTAGTCGATATTCGAAATGCAAAATGCATATCTTTTGTCGGTTTTGTTCGGCTAATAGTTATATGGGATTTGCTGATTATTAACAATGTGCGGGGACAAATTGAAATTTTGTTAAAGGAACGAATGACACGTCGGTATCAATGAGCTATAAACACTGTTAAATTTATCGATTTTTTCCCCGTACGTGCAAAAGATTTTCGACGAGTTACTCTCCTTTTCCACGATATTCCAACGCTTGCAATCGTCGTGCGCCGCTCGCACATTGTACAAAGTTGTTCATACTTTTGTTAAGAAAAAAGCGATACAGGACGACTTGAAATATTCGGAAATCAATGAAGCGTCTTTCATCAATGCGATAAAATTGGCAAAGTCATATCGAGCAGCCGCGCTTTTGAAATGTTACTTACCGATGATCTCTCAAGTGGTCCTGCCTGCGGAAAGCTTTGCCGCATATGTCGCATGAGTACGGCCGTTCGTCGGTATGCGTCCTCTCGTGGATCAGCAGATTGTAGCTCTTGGTGAACTGCCGATTGCAGAACTTACAAATGAACTGTTTTTTGGGTCTCTGGCCGGGTATCCGCCGTGTGAGAAACGACGCCGGCGGCGGTACCGGCAGCAGGCTCTGATGAGCGTGATGATGATGGTGGTGATAAGCGTGAGGGTGTGTCTGAGGGCAGCAACCCCTCACGGCCAACAGAGCCGCACCCCTCAAGAACCAATTGTCCAAGAAAGACGGATGATAACCGCCGTTGTTGTGTTGAGCCGCTTGCACGTGTTGTTGCTGCTGCAGATACCTCGTGCCGGTGATATGAGCCCGACTCCACCTCGAAGACGAGAACGGCAATTGCTGCTGTTGTTGTTGTTGTTGTTGAGGTGGCGACTGGTGATGCTGATTCGCATGATTGATCGGCCTCTCGACCGACGGAGGTGTCTGTGGCGGCGTTAACGGCTCTGTTTTCGTCTCCATCTTACCGCGTGGGAAGCCGCGACGACTATGACGGCGACGGCGACGGGGGGAGAGGAGGGAGGTGGGAGGGGAAGAGGGGGAAGAACGATAGGGAGAGTCTCACGATATAATAATCAAAATCACTCGGGTTCTATCAGTGAATGACCGCGTCTTCGTTCATCAAGGCCGGCGAGTCGCTGGGGTCCGAGTGCGGGTGGACGCGCGCGCGGTCTCGTAGGCTCGACGGCGTAGTGACACAGCGTGGTAACGGCGAGCCGGACGGGTGGACCGATGGCGAGAGACGCGACGGAAAAAAAAGAAGCAAGAGGATATTAGCTAGCGAGAGCCGACGCGATACTAAGCTCTCTACCAGTGAACCGCCGCACGATCCCAGGGTCGCCGTTTACCTGGCCTCGACGAGAGACGACACGGTGGCTCCTCCTACCGTGTCTCGTACGTTGGATACGCCGGTTGGCGGCCCGACTTCCACCAACTCCACCGGGGCGGAGCTTCCGGGTCGGGGTGATCCCTCCAGGGCGTCGCGACGCTATCCAGCCGTGGACAACCGCTGTCCCCCGCCGCCGTCTCGCCGTCGCCACGCGCCCGCAAGACAGCCGGGGGTGTCCGCTGCGATGTAAATTGAAGCGATGTTACCGCCGCGGATGGGTCGCGTGGGTGTAGGCGAGTGTGTACGTGTGTCGTCGTCGTCGTCGTCGTCGTCGTACACTCCGTGCGCGCGTGCGAGCACGCGGCTGTACGTGTGTGGGTGCGTATGGCAACGCGTGTGCCGGCTGCGCGTCGATGCGTGCGTGCGTGCGTGTTCGGGAAGCAGGCCGGGTGAGATCCCATTCGCAGCTATTCGCATGCCGGACGGGTGCCTATGGTCGCTGAGTGGCGGTGGACCATGTCGCTCGAGACGAGAGAGGGGAAATTGAGCTAATTCGTCAAGCTTTGAGTCTCTGACTGACGAGTAGCTGTTTGCAAGACAACAAAATACGGGAGAAAAAAGAGAGAGAGAGAGAGAGAGAGAGAGAGTTCACTTTTATGTGAAACTTAACCAAACGAGACTCTCACAGTTGCACAACCGTGACGAAACACATCCAAGTGGTTGAACGTCACTTTTTGAAGATATATTTTCGTGCAACAGGGCTAACTTCGAGCAAGTTGGCACGCTCAAGCGATGACGGAAACTCCATTGTGGCGAACGCGTAGGATTTCCGCGGCATGGTGCGTAATCGACTCACCGCGAGTTTTCGCGCGAACCAACCACAGGGTTGAAGGGCGCGAAACCACCCCTACCGGAGAGACGGGGGTTGCACATGATGTGAACCATTAGTATTCCGCGTGACGCCACCGGCATGCATCTCCGATCGAGTCGCTCGATTTACCATGCAAATCGTCCGGCTTTTGCTGATGCAAAACGGCCCATCGAAACGGTATCTGATTTTTCTCCCCCTCACCCCACGACATTTTGAAGTGACAAATATGTTGAAACCAGAAGGATGGATCTCCGGCTCTCCGATGAGCGAGAACAAATTAACTGTCTGTGCGCGATGGCATCCTGCGTTATTTCGTCATCCGCGCTACTAATTGGGACAAGTCCTCGTTTTGCTTCCCGACAGCGCGATCCATCTTCGTCTACCTCCGCTTCCAATACTCTTTCCGACGTATAGGCCGGTAATCTCATTATGCGCTAACGATCCGGCGCAGCGTGATATTTGAAGATACCGATGCTACCGATTCGTTCGCCACGAATTTACATCAACGTCGCGGGAGACGAATCTCCACGTTGAGCCGCGCTAATGAGAACAAACCGCTAGAACTTGTCTTGGCCTCGAGTGTCTTTACGACGCTCACTGTAGCGTCATCATGCGCACCGTACAGATCATAAAAAGAAATCATTGAAGCGACACCCGAGATAAAGATTTTCGCGTTGAGATACGAAATTTTGATCCTACTTTCAGTCTTGTTATTCCATTCAATATCTATTTTGACACTAGAGAAAAAGGAAATTTCAGATATTATCAAAGTAGTAGTAAATTGTATCATTAGAATTAAATCTACTTAACTCTTACTGCGTTGTAGAATTTAAGGTTCAACATAGGACGAAATTTCTCGAGGTGTCAGCGACAGCAGCATCTTCTCTTAATTTTTCTGTTACTTCATTTCCCATGATCCTAGAATGTTATATTTTCTCAGACTCACCCTTTCTCGATTAAGTATGATTGTCAGTTGATAATAGATGATAGAGAGAGAGAGTGATAAAACTCCGAGAGTCAGGTAATCGTATTTAATGTTAAATACGATGAATTGACACGGGCTTCGCTTTTGGGAACCTAATCTGAAAAGGGGATTCGTCCAATGATGATATTAAAAATATGACTTTGTCGCAATCGACAGAGAAAGTCGACAACTAACGCGCACGGTGAGATATCGTAGATGATACGTCATTATCGGTAACAATATGTGGTGTGGTAAAGATTATCTTATCCACTTATCGATTTATGACAGCGCAGACAGCCTGACACCGACGGGGAAGTCGCGTCGACATTCGCGAGTTGAGAAGGAAGCATTGTTGGTCGCGCGGTATCGCATAAAACGCGCTATATTTACTGTGCCTTCTAAATCTACCGCCGCTTCTCCCATTTATAGAGTCCTCGACGAAATAAGAGTCGAATGTGCTCGTTGTGCCACGAGATAGTAACAATTCTCATTAGGTTTATAATTATGACCACTAATAGCCACACTTGTATTTATTTACATTGCAAATCCAAGTGTGTTACGTTTAAACGCATGAGCGTGTAATTTAGCTGGAGCTCTTTTTACATGTTTCTTGCAATTTTAAATCATGTTATTTGACACACACATTTAAGAAACATGTGAATTACATAATGAATCATAATATATTTTAAACATATCAAGTAAAACGTAACTTAAAACGATAAAAAACATACAAAAAGAAATTCAGCCAAAATGATACACTTGGATTTGCAGATATTACACGGAAAGAATATATTAGTTTTTTTTTTTATATAAATTTTTTTCAATCTTTCTATATTTTTAGTAAAGTATAGGAATAGAAACTGTCAGTAAAGTTTATCTTGCCAAGGAATGTAATAAATTTTATCGGAAACATATTTTAATAGCACACTTCAGTTCCTGAAATATAAGTAGCACTTATTAAATAAAAATAGAGTAAATTACTCTCTGTAGTATGTTCCAATTTATTACTAAATTCTATAGTAATTTTTCTACAAAATTCTTTCCGTGTGTATATATATATATAGACTTGTACGTATAAACTGCAAGTTTTTGTAATCTTTGAGAATTTCTCCAGGGAATTGTTCAGGAAGTTTTTCAAGGGGTTGATCATGAATCTCTTCCTTTGGTATGAACTCGTAAAAAGGGAAGAATTTCTAGCTTGAAAGTACCGTAAGATGGGGTTACTTTGTGACTGTAGGGCTTACTTTGTGACACAGTGACATTTTTTTGTATTTTGAATCTCGCTCCATGACAATAATAACAGGAAAGCTAAAATTTGCGCCAAAATCTTGCCCAACATACCATGCCATTTATGGGCTGCAGCCAGAAGCACTTTATCACTATTGACAAACAGTCACTGTGTCACAAAGTAACCCCTACAGTCACAAAGTAACCCCATCTTACGGTATTTTACTTTTCACAAGTCTAAAGGGAAATATTTATAGCAACCTCTCTCTCTCTCTCTCTCTCTCTCTCTCTCTCTCTCTCTCTCTCTCTCTCTCTCTCTCTCTC